AAGAGGAAGCGAAGAGCTGGCTTGTTTCCATGGAAACACTAGCAGCATCAGGCAGAACAGCTGTAGAGGAAGAGGCAGAAGTTAGGAAGGCAGAAATCTTGCTGATTTTACCTCTCTGATGTCAGTACCATCAAGAAACATTTACACTTAGGGTAGATCAAGCTAGTTGATTATACATCATGTATTAAGCTAAAATTTCCAGTCAGGACTTTAAAAGCCAGCATGCCAGAAGTAAATTAATAAAAATCACTTACAATGTGATTTGGGCAGCCCATGTATGCATGAAGCTACAGAGTGTATGAATATCTGTAACAGTAATGCAGTATGACTTTTGTCATTAGGAACACATCTTGACATGTCTTTAAAATAGACAGCTCCCATAGCATAAATGCTTTCAGCAGAATGACTGTTTCTCACTTATTTAATGTAATTGACTATTTTCCCACATGTAAATAAATCCAGCCTTTTGATTACCAACAAAAGGAGTACCCTCTTTGAGGCATCAACCTTAACTATTTGCTTTGTGCTATTTTCAGACAGATGTCTGCCTAACTAATAATTGAATGGTAAAATCTAAAATATACCTGCTATTCTCATTGAATAAAAGACAGAGTAAAGATTTCCATTTATGTATTAAAGGGCTTCCTATCTGTTGAGATAGCTAACCTTTGCTATTCACTATTAATCTACAAACATATATTCTGAGATCAATGCACCTCCACCACTCCATTCACAGTATTTCAGACTGATGCAGTAGTGTTATTTCCACCAAAAATAAAACCTGTCTTTCATCAGAAGAGGCAAAGCCCTAAAAATATAACTCACTTCAGTCATTCACCATAGTACATGACAGGCTTCCTAAATCAAGGCTTTCTTGACAGGTATCAAAACAGGTATCTAGGTACCTGGAGAAAATGCAAACAAGCCACCAAATAAAGACATAAGCTATCTTTGTTAAGAATGTTCTCCAACATGATTTCTGTATCTTTAGCCTCGAGGCAATCTATAAAACCATATTTTTCCTCTCTCCCATCCCACTCATTTCAGCTGATTCTTCACCTCACCCAATGTCCAAAGCTGGTGTACATGCAATGGAACACTGAAAGGACTCTCTGACAACTAAACATCACATAAAGCAGTAGAGGGGGGTGGTATTTTTTCCCTCCAAAAATACCACCCACTGCTCAAATACAGCTCCCCTTGTCACTATGAAGCAGCATCAGTATTTTTAAGAACACTTTCAAGATATATCTTGATGCCTAGACTGCAAGGTTTTTGTGGGTTTATTTGCATTGCAGTGAATATTTACTTACAGCAAACTTGACAAATACTCGCTAATTAGGATTTGTATTTCCTTGTAAACCAAGTAATGATGATCTTTCCTAGAGATAAAAACCATAGCAAAGGGGCTGTGTAAGCTGCCTTCAGCTGCTGCAAACAGCAGTGCCAGCTCAAGTGCCCTGGGCCATGCTGACTCTGGCACTGCTTAACCACCCCACTGGCCCCTTATCCACAAAGAGATTTACAGTCTCCCCAAAACATTAAGGATATATAGCTATGGACCTGGTGAATTTCAGGGCCATTTTTGCATTCCTGCACCCAGTAAAGGAGTAATCCATAATTCTTAGGAAAAATCAATGACAAATACTAATTACTTCTTTAAACAGCATCATTTTACAACTATTACTCAAAAGTAAAAAGGCTTTAGAGGTAATTACTTTGAAATATGATATCTGAGATGAGCACTGGCATTCCAGTTCCTGCTGGACACCTGCAGACACTTTTTGAACTCAGCACTTAACATTGCCTCTTGAGCTTTCTTACAAACTGCTTAGATGTATCTTTGCACTTTACTAAAGCAAACAATACCTGGCACCTAGGAGCCACTGGACACCAAAATCACTTACAGATATTAACCAACAAAACAGTGCACACGTTTTAGTCAGATAAGGTGTCTATTTCAGACAGGTTTAAACCAACACACAAAGATTGAGTCACCCAGGACTCCTCCTCCTGTGAGAGCACCTTATGCCAGTAGATTTCCACATCTACATTAACAGCATTGTGTCAAACAGCCTTTTGTGAATGATCGTTCCATTATGCGTGGAGTGAAAGAAGTACGGCTGCACTCTAATTTCATTTCACGGTCTGTGAAATCCAAAACGATAATATGAAGACAGAAATAACATTCAGACCTAACTCCTAAACTTGGGAAACAAAGGGAAGTGTTGCAGGTTTCAAAGCAATCATATACACATGGATTATATTTCAGAATTACAAGCCCCATGTTTAGTAGATGTCGCTATCTGACTACCAAACTGCATGCACTAAAAGTTGAATTTTTTTAGAATCTCGACTAAAGTAAACCTTCTTGTCAACAAACTAGTTCCACTATTTATATAACATCACTGGATGGTCTTGCTAGAATAATCTTGTGCGTGCACTATCCCCAAAGAGGTTACCATGGCAACTTATATTTGAATTTCTATAAATTTCTATTTTTAGAGATCACAGTTTCAAATAAAGAAAATCACAAATATTAAGTACCATTTCATTAACAGAAAATACCCCATTTTTATCACCATCATAATTCCCAAAAAAAGACACTAGTGAACCTAAATCAGTAATGCTAAAAGAAAATAATTATCACAGTTCTTAGGAAAGTTTACCACTAAGCAGCCCCACCATAATCTCACTGGTGTATGAGTCAGTAACTAACACTGTGAGGCAAAGATTGATGTTCACAGAGTTTTGTCTTGATTTCAGTAAGCCCAGGATTTCACTCAAATGTTTTTAGAGTTAGTCATCAAATCAGCTGATATAAAACAAGAGTGTATTTGCCAGAATACTGAGAAAATAAGGGCTCTCATTTCAGGTGTGGAAAAACACAATGTCTCAGTTCCAAACTAAGGTTACCATCACCTTAAATTACTGTGTTCAAGAGTGCTTACTAAGTGCATGCGAGTCCTTAAATACAAACTCACTTTAATGCTTTAAAACTCACCAGAAATTCTCGAAATTGTCTGCCTACCTGAAAGATCAGGCACAGATCTTCAGAAAATGAAATTACAGATTTAGACGCTGCTGTTACGGTTCTGACACTGCCTTATTCTGGCTGCCTGGGTTTGAAATCAGAATAAAATCTTCAAAACCAGTTAAATTATAAAAAGGTAAATACTCTATCTTCTAAGAGATTAATATTGCCATGCTGCAATTTCCTACTATAGTGTTAATTACAGTATTCATTTTGCAAACTTGAAATATCTTCATCCAAGCCACTAATGGTTCAGGATGACCTAGTACAGATGGAAAATTTGGAAAACAAGAGCCTATAGCTCCTGTCAAAGACTGGACTGAAAACCCAACTTCAACTCCAAGGCACAACAGCATGCCTACCTTCCTACTTCTCCTGGTATCTTCCATTTAACATTTACTCCCTACTCCTCAGTTCTCCAGAAAAGTTGAGCAGGAAGATTCTCTGTCATAAAAGCTGCAGTTTTGACACTGTCAGCAACTTTCCACAAGACAGTAGGTGAAAGAAAACCTGCAGGGCAATCACTGCTCACACTACAGCCTGTCAGGTAACTGACAGCCACATTTTCTTTAGGATCCCAACAGCTGAGATATATGGGTATGCACTGAGGAGCAAAGATAGACACTTCTGGTAACTTTTCTTCAGAACCCATTCTTTATTAAAAACATACTTTAAGAATCAACTGGAGCCAGCTGTTGAGGGAAAACATACTGGTAGGCAACTTTCAAAAACATAAACAACTCTGGTACTCAGTAAGTGACAGTAATAAGTGTGAGGACTTTTACTTTTGGTTTAACTTACCTCAATAAGCTCATAGGGTGAGTGGGCAGAAGCTGCATCATGCCATGGGGTACAGTTCCAGAAGTAACTAAACCACAAACCTAAGTGCACATCTATGAGACTGCCAGCAGAATAAGTGGAACTGATTAGGAGATTACACCCACCATAACCGCACTTTCTGCAAAATGAGGTTTAGCTCCGAATACTTCATGGAAATCCTGATAAATACGCCACAAAATATTTATTGCCATTTTATAATCAAGCATTTCCTCTTACAAGCCCTTTGTCATGTATTGGAGGGAGGATTTGCTGGTGGTTGCTGTTCTGGTTAAATTAGAGACACCACTGCATATTTCTCAAAAAGGAATTACAACCATTTGTTTGCTCCAAAGCCCTGAGTTGAAAGTAAACCCTCATCACCCCTGACAACTGCAATGAAAAGATAGAACTAAAATCCAACACATCAAAGTATAAAGTAGTGAGCATAAAAACCTGAAACCCCTATCTAAGTAAAAGAAAGTCAGTATGATCACTTACTCTCTTGTCCCCAGTCCCTCAGTCACTGAGCCAGCCAGGGTCACCCTGAGAAATCAATGGAGGAAGAGCCAGGGTGACCCCCTGTCACATCTACTTTGTTGAACCAGGATCACCTACCAGAGCAGACAGAGCAAAGCTCAGAATGGACTGAGGTCGCTCTCCAGTGTCACTGTCACCACCTGACCCCAAACCCAAGACCTCAGGCCACCTGCCCCGGCCCCAAAGGCACGTTCATGCAGGAGCTCAGGGAGGATGAGGGTGCCTTGGGGCTGCTCCTGCTCACACCCACACACAGGTTCACCAGTGAGTCACCCCCTCCACACCCCCACACAGGCCAGGGGGTGAGTCGGGTCTCCCTTGCAGGCTTCTCGGGGCACAGCTCCCACCTCAGCCCCGCACACTCCCATGGGAAGGATGCTGGCACAGCGGGACCCCCGTGCTGCCTGACATTGCCTGCAGATGTACGGGACACAAGCACCACCACCCCACGCAGACGGATGTCCCCCTTGCAGGGGCCCACCAAAGCATCTCTTCTGCAGGCACAGCCCGAGCGGGGCAGCCTCCCCGCGATGCCGGCTCCCGCTCGGGGACCCCAGCAGCCCCTCGGCCTCCCCAGCGCCCGCTGGGAGCGCCGGCCGGCGGCGCTTACCCTGGCGGCGCGGGAGGAGTAAGGGTCCTCGAAGAGCGCCCAGACACGGGGCTGCAGCCGCCGCCAGCGCCCGCCCTTGCCCTCGGCGGCCGCCCCCACGTCCTCGATGCCCAGTCTCTTGGCGGCCAAGTCGTCGTCGTCGCCGTCGGGGGGCGGCTCGCCCGTCAGCAGGTCGGGTGCCTCGAAGATGTCGAGGGCCTCCTCGGCGTCGCGGTGCTGGCGGTAGGTCATCCAGCAGCAGGGCTCCACGTCGGTCTCGTCGATGCCCCAAAAGGCCAGCTCCTCCTCGAAGAGCGGCCCGCAGACGTCGGCGGGGCAGTGCAGCTTGCCGGTGCGGTAGTAGTTGAGCACATAGGCGAAGACCCCCGGGTGCCGGTCGAAGAAAAACTCGCTGGCGCCGCCGCTGCCCCGGGGGCTGCAGCCGCTGCCGGGCTCCGGGCAGCCGCCCGCCGGAGGCGGCGGCGGGTTGGGGGGCGGCGGCGGCTCCTCGCCGCCCGGGGACTCGCTCTGGGACTCGCAGGCGAGCAGAGCCAGGCGGGTCCCCGGCAGGGTCTTCAGGGTGCTGCGGTAGGTCTCGTGCCGCGTGCCCCCCACGTTGAGGATCACCCTCTCGTTGTCCTCGAGCTTCCCCATCGCTCCGGGTGGGACATGACTGGGGAGAGCGCGGGAGGCGGCGGCGCGGATCGGGAGGGGGGCGCGCCGGTCGCTGGGCGGGGGGCAGCCGGTCGCCGGCAGGTCCGTGGGGAACGAGCCTCTGCCTTAAACGCAAACAGAAGAAATCGAGGAGAAACCCCACAAGCACCACCGTAGGAGGACCGTTCCCCGCGGTCACGGCCTGTCCCAGACCCCTCCCAAGACCTCCCGCGGACCCGCACTCCGGGAGAGCCCTCACGGCCCGGCCCGGCCCGGCACCCACCGCCGGCCAGCTTCGCTCGCTCCGCCGCGAAGGGCTGTGCCGCCTGCCCGCCCGCTCCGGGCACAGCTCCGGGCTGCCTCCCGCTTCCCCTGGAAGCAGGCTACCGAAATGGCACTGCTGCTGCTTCGACCGCCTATGGATCCGCCACCGTCCCCACCCCCTTCTCCCTCGCGGGGCTGTGTGAACCGAGCTGATGGAACAGAAAGTGTACGGTTAATTATTTAATGGGCATCTATCTTTTATTGTCCTAACAGCTTAACCAGGGGGAAAAAAGAAGGCTTAGATATTTTTCTCTTCCTCCCCACCCCCACCGTGGGAGGGAGGAAAGGGTTGCTTTTTGGGAAGAAATACAGAGCACCCCACCAGCGCAGGCAGCAGGCATACTCTAGGAAAAGCTGTCTGTGTGGAGCTCGGCTCGCTACTTTCTCAGACAAATCACGAAGGCGAGCGCGCATCTCGGGGAAGGGCAGGTGGGATCAGCCTCCCGCTCCCCCGCCAGCCCCGCGCTCCCTCCCGCCGCCCCGCCGCTACCTTTGCCGGAGGAGCGGCAGCGGCTTCTGCTCCCGGCCGGGCTCCGGCCCCGGCCGCTCTCCGTGCCGCCCTGCCAGGCGAGACTACTTGTTGTCGATTCGGGTGTTTCTCCGCGTTCAGGTGGCTGTTTCACCTCCCTCCGTGCTCAACTCCGACAGGCGTAACAGCGGCTCCCGCCGCCCGCGCGGAGATCCCGCTCCCCTCATTTTACAGGGGGGATGCGGCTGTTCCACGTCGGGGCTGGGAGCCGGGACCAGCGGCGGAGCGCAGAGCCATGAGCGGGGACCGGGACGGCCGTAATTCCAGTGGCGCTCCAGGCAGCCGAGCCCAAAGGTGAAATCGTCCCTCATTTGGGGCCGCAGCTCCGCCCCGGGGCGGGGGCAGGGCAGCCGAGCCGGCCCTACACACCCCTCCGGTCCCGCGCTGCCCGCCCGGGGGGCGCAGGGAGGCGACAGCGAAAACAAACGCTGCATCTTTCCCAAAAAGACACCACCTCCGCTCCTGATACATGGGCATTTGGTTCACTCAAGTAAAGCACGCGGGAAGGGAGCGGGGCTGAGAATAGCTCTTTTTCGGAGAAATGCGGAAAAATGAGCCGTAGCTACAGGTGGCTGCGGAGAGGAGCTGTCCGGCCCCCAGGAGAGGGTCACGGAGCGCCCGCAGAGCCCCGGCGGGCGGGGCAGGGATGCTGCGGGGTGCCGGGGGACCGCGGCGGCGGGGAGCGCCCCGACTCGGGGGAGCCCCAGAGCCAGCTCCTGACCCAGCCGGCAGCGGGGTTTGGGGATCCGGCTTAAGGAGGGGACATCCAGTTTCCATGTCGGCTAAGATAAGGAGCAGTGGGTGCACTTCAGGCTTCGTGCGCTGCATAGGTGTGAGGTTGGGTGTGGCAGAGGGGATGGAACTTCAGTCCCCAATTATATAGGAGGGAAGCCGATGCCTGTGCACTTATAATATATGAGAGAGTCCATATCTCTGCCTCCAAGCCAGCTGAGTTATTTACTACAGCCTACACTGCTGCCTAGTTTCAGCTGGGTTAGTCAAAGGGAAAGAAGCTTCCAGTCCCAAAGAGAAGATATACAACGTGAGAGGTGATCCCTCTTCCTGCTTCCTCAAAAGAATAAAAAAGTCTTCCTCCACGCAAAGGGTACTCCCTGGCCTGAAGGAGGGCAACGAGTGGAATAATGGTATCTGAAACGTCCTCCTTCCACATCAGAGCCTGTGGCTGGGCACTTGCTGGTGTCTGGAGGGCAGAGCTCTGCTGGAAGCAATGCTCTGAGGACACTCTGCTTAGACCAGATTGCTTTAACCCAGATCTGTCTATATGTGGCATCCATGATGTAAACACAGGCTCCCAAAGCAGCAGTAACTTTAAGAAATGGGTTTTGGAAGCTTTCTCCAGATGTACATTTTGAAGTTCCTAAAAAAAAAGAGTGAAATCTATCCTGACAAAGCAGATATAATCAGTTAGTGAAAACCCTTGGAACCAAAATAAATATTCAATTACATAGTTGTAAATGCAGTGGAAAAGATTCTACCATCCTAATGCCACCTATGGCCTCATGCCGTACTTGATTTTCTTTGCAGATGGGATTTTTCTGAAAAGGGGACATAGAGAAGGAGTGAGTAAGACAAAAGAAATATCCTTTATCTTCTCTCTGACCTATAAGAGGTTTCTGGAGAAATGCAACACATTAAAGCTCTGCAGCATTCATCATCCATTATGGAAAACCATAGGGTGGCAGTAGCTGCCAAAACACTACACAAACTGTATCATCACAGAGTATCAGGACTTCCTTCTGAACTGTCACCATCTGCTCAGGTCCCACATCTGTGCCCAAGTTAAGAAGCTGACCCCTCCAGAAAAAAAAACACACAAAACAAAAATCAAAAGCCCCAACAATACCAAAATCAACGACCCCCCCCCAAAACCCAGCCCCACTACCCCCCACCCAAAAAACCCCTCACAACCCACCCAAAATCCTAAGAAACCTGAGACTAACAAGGATAGCATCTAATAAACAAAATCTTTACTGTCTTACCTGTAATGCCATTGCCATGAAAAAGGCATTTTTTTATGAGCAACTGGTTGATACTTCAGACTTATGAAGCATGCAGGGGGTTTTATTGCATGGTAGGAATAAGCAACAGAAAGAATTTTTCTAGTTGGTAAGAAAAGGAATGGTCTCTTCCAGAATATAATAGTCCTTCAGTCGTATAAAAAATTTCACATTCTATAACTTGTCTGTTTCTAAATATAATGCTGTTAATTTCTCTGTGTGTCGTTCTTCCTTGTAGTTTCATCATGTGGCAGACTTCTCAATGAAGGATGAAATTATGTTAGATGTTGACTTTCCAGAGCTGAAATTTTCTTGAATCACAATATCCTACGTAGACATAGTGACATTTATGAATTAATTTCCTCCTTACAAGAGTTTGACCTGAATTTTTGCACTCCTCAGTGCTCCCAGTAAGAGTGAAAGCATGAGGCATATGTAAGAGATAGAAAGGTGTCTGTGGAGTGAGCCTTACCTTGAAATATGTCTGCAAAGGGAAAAAAAACCCTACAAACCCAAAAACTATTTACAAACATATTCATTTAAAATGTAAGTAGAAACATTTCTGTAGCTCAGAATTTGGAGCTTTATTTGAGGAACTGAGTGATACTGAGCAGTGCACAACTGATTTTTCCTGCTGGCTAATAATTCATTTACAAAGGGAAAGGTCCTATGTTATGGTTTTCACCAGCAAAGCAATAAAATTAGATGTAATGACCACTGTGAGAAAACCAGGGCAAATGAGCATTTTATTTACTAGGAGCAATCATTCTTTGTGCAAGCTTGAATATTGTAATGCAAATTCATTGGGTTACCAGCTGTCTAACAAGAGTAAATGGACGTAGGGATTTGCACAAAAGAAAAGCAAATTTGAGGACAAACATAGTTTACCTCAGCTAAAGTCATGCTCAGAATCACCTTCTGGAGGAGATCTGTCCCTGTTAACTAGTGGGTCCCTGGGAGGGATAACCTGGCCGGATAACACCTGCTATCCTGAGGAGGACATGAGAGGTTGAAGCCACCAAGTTTTTCTAGTGCAGATCACTATTTCATATTCATATGATGTTGAATTGAGAAACAAAAAATAATCAACTTTACAATCAAAAATTATAACTGAAGACAGTGCAAAGATAAAATATTATCTATTTATATCAATCATTAAGTAAATTAATTATTTTAAGTATCCACTGTCATTAACATTTTATTAAGCCTCTACTTGTTTCTTTCATGTATTTTGTTATTTTCCCTTATTATTTATAATCATCAATATTATTTACAATTACATGTACTAATTCATTATACATCTTGCAGAACATGGCAGCCACATTATACTGAAGTACACTGATGATCAGCCAGAATCTTACTCTGAAACTGCAAAAAACCCTGAATTAATAGATTAAGCAAACATATCTGAAATAAAACTGTAAGGAGCCATGGTGTAGTTAAATTGGATGAAGCTCAAAACAAAGCTAGCAGAAAGACTGTTATTATTATTTTTAAATTCCAGTGCAAGGTTGCATTTTTTCAGGCAGTTGAGATATAAGCTGGGTTTGATCAATAACACAGAATTATTGAAAAACGTCTTATTGTAGAGAAATATGAATAAAAGTAAGATTGGACAGGACAGATGTACAAAATGTGAAAGCTGGGATGAAGTCAGCCTACTCTTAGTCCCAGCCTAGCACACAGGAGCTCTCCATATGAGTGGCTTTATACAGACAGGTGTGCTTCATATGCTTTCTCTTACATTTCAGCTCTCTGTGAAATTCTGGGGAATGTGGTATCTCTCATTAAAAAATGAAAACCTGGAAAAAGTTCTTGTATATTACACTTACCAAGGAAATTAAAAATAGTGAACACAAGGCTGGGGACCCCTGAGAAGAGATGATGCAGTACAAAAAAGTCCAGGTGAGCACTAATTGCATTGACTAATTAGGTGTGATCCAGGCTATATGGTTAAATCTTTGCCTTCCCTAGTGGTGGGGATGGAATTCTAAAGTGTGTGTACATTAAAACTGGCTTTGGGTTTCTCTCTTCAAAAGAAAGGGAGAGGTTGGTGTGTCCAAGGGTGAAAAATCCCCCACCTCAGGATTGTTTTGCCTGGGATAATACAAGAACACCCATAGGAAAGTGCAGCCTTTCCAATAGATCACCTCCTCCAGGCTCATAAAGGTTCAGATCCAAGGTACCTCTTCTCACAGGTACCTGCTCTCACCTGTGAAACTCTTCCTTAGAAACTGTCACTGTTCCACTGTTCCTTTAGATCTGGGGTAAACAGCACAAGGCCTTTGCCCAATGTCAACCTCACCAAAATCTTCAAGTCACTGCTTTTTTCCTTCATGATCAGCCCTGGGTGTCCTTTCCCCCCCAGTACCAATGCCAGAGGCATTAGCAATGCAAGATGGTGGAAGGCAAGATTACTCACCTGCTTCTGCTGTGATTCAAGTGTCTTTGTCAGTGCTGATTCATGTTTGTGGGATGCAGATTTTCTCAAGAGCTTTAGGATATTACATTCTGCTTATAAAAGGAGATATTGCCTCAGGCTCTGTCCACACTTACATTTTTTAGTGTCCAGTGCTAAAATAGTTGAAATGAATTTTTCATCTATCCTGAAAATTTCCTTCGATTTCAGGGAAAGGTCAGTGATGTGTTTTTCTCATTTGTAACTAGCCAGCACATGAAACCCCTTCTAAGGGTCTGGCACCTCTCAGCAAGACAGTGTCTTTGTAAAGACTCATTAGGCAGTGAGAGCAGTACTGAGCTCCTCCACAGCCATTTACTCCTTAGCTGAAGTGTAAATACATGGACTGAGCTTCTTTCAGGTGCTCATGGTACTTAAGGAGACTGAAAGAAACAGGTCTTGGAATGTCCTCGTCAAGCATACAGAGACCCAAGAGACAGGAAAATGAATGCAGTACCTCCAAATAGCTCTCAGGTACAAGCTTTCCTCATTCAAAAGGAATAAAGCTTTCTGTTTCTATCTGGAAAGTGCAGAGAGATGGAAAATGGGGAAATGCCAAAGCCGTGTATCTTGTCTTACAACATGGCCAGCAGACCTAAGGTAGCTCCACCAACTTGGAGGAGTTTCTGTTTCTTGTCTCATGAAAATTTTGGGAAATTCTACTTCTAAAATTTCTGTGATTTTCCATTTTTTATTCCTCTCATTAATTTTAACTGAAGTTTTTGGG